TACAGAAGCATTTGCATGGAGGCATATAGGCTAATCTCACATATACACACGCCAGCAGATGTTCGAACACACAAGAAAGCAAACAGATACAGGCCTGCATGCACACAGGCACGCACACTCACACTGTGTCTTTTCACTAATAGTAGCTTGACATGCATGACGCACAAACAACTGCCATTCTCTCCCATGAAAGGTGATCCACACCCTTGGCATTGAACCAGCAGGTGCATTACAAGGCCTCATTTATTAATAATGGGGTGCATGTCTTTCAGTTACACAGGTAGACATCTTCTCATATTTGTCACCAGCGCTTTATACCTCAAAGTCCTCACATGCCACTTAGGTACACAAATGAGCTTTCTCTTTCTCTTCACAAATTAACGTTTTGCCTAAAAGCTGCTTTATTTTAGAACACGGTGATGCAATAACACCGAACTCCACAGTGCTACCACATACTGTATCACGTGCTGTGTGCCAACCCGTCCCCATTGCCAAAAATTGAATTGACCCACATGGTAGGTTTTTCTGCAAAGGGAACAATTCTAACTGCTATCAGCGGGAGTGATGTTACAGGCTATTGGGAGGTGAAATTAATGAAGATGGAGGGGTGACTTCTGCCCTGGCTCTGCTGAACTCAAGTGAACTTTGACCCCTGTGGTATGGAAATGAAAACTGTCATTTTATAAAAATCCTCTGGGCTGGGCTTTGTCTGATAACGACTCATTATGTGAGGCAGTTACATATTCACAGAGCTGATAAGAGGAGGGGAAACATTAATAGGAATTGTATTGGTTTTAGCGTAGTGTGTAAGGGCATGCACACACATGGATTAATCTGAGTAAAAAAATAATACTACAGAGTTAACATAACACCTAACATAATGCAAAAACAGTACTGTAACACATACTACATTGTGCTCCATTTGGTAAATTAAGTGTTCTTTGGCATACATCATGGAAATTGGTAAATAATGTCTCCTGGGTTCCAATATACCCCATGCACATTAACTTCCAACCCCAAATCACCTTTGACCTGGAGCATGTCCTCTGAGACCTGGAGATCATTGAAGGGCATGTCATCAACCAACCAAACAGCTGATTCTGCTGCAGTGCAGCTATAAAAATTGGACAGAAGAACAAAGTTGAAAGCTGACCTATTCTGATTTTGAAATATTTATGACCCAATTGACCCATTGAACCATTGTTTTATTAGAGAGCAATTCCCCAATGATGTTCCATAACAATGTCTAAAACATGTGGATACCAGAGGAAATGCAGTTAGGTCTTCATGAAAAAATGTATATTAGTATCTGTGTTCACATTTTACTGTGTTTGCCAAGTATTTTCAGGGAGTCAAAAGGTGATACACCTCCACAAACAGTTGGTCACTCATGCTCCAGCTTACCTGGTTCTTGTGACAGGCCTTTGTGCCGTCACCTTTGGCAATGCATAATCTACACAGACAGAAACCCAGTAGCAGAAAAACAGTTTTAAATGAAAAGAATCTAGTGTGCTCCAGATTAGTTAGGTTGGGAAAAAGCCTGACTGATTGTAAAGCTGCTCAGCAGATCACATGGCACAGGCAGCATCACCTCTGCAAACAGTGCAGATGGAAGTGGGAACCACTTTGGATCCTCATTTCTTACATCTATGTGTGAGATATTGAGTTTTTCACAATTTCTGCTCTCTACTTGTAGTGTGACATCCGTGTCTAATAATAAGAGAGGCAGTAGAATTGGGAGGAAGGGGGGCTGTTTTGGGACATGAAGATTCTAGTACATTCTCTGTGTGGTTCTTAAAATCCTCGAAAGTCCCTGTCCACCCTTTTCCACTTGCTCCTCAGCATCTCCCATGGGATCAGGCCAGGGACAGGTGGTCAATGAGAGACAGGAGAGCAGTCAGGCATAAACAATCAGACTATCAGATACTCCGATCCATAACAGCAGCACAATTAGACCTGAGAATCCACAGTCATCTAACAACTCCAGCAACAGACCCAGTCACATATCACACATCTAAATATGCACACACAAACAACACACCCCCACACATACAAACAGATACCTATTACACACTATTACACACAAACACTTCAGCCCTGACAATGCATCTCATTATGCATAATATTTTAAGTGATTAAGACTTGCACATCAGACAGGAGTAACTTTACTCAAGACCCACATTGAACTCTGTCTGTCTGTGGTAACCATGTAAAAGCAATTTAAAACAAACCAAAAAAGCATGGGTATCGATATGCTAATGCAAACACAATGTAAATGGAAATGAAAAACTGCAGTAATAGGAAACACAGACATATTTAAAAAGAAACGTGTAAACACAAACTGTGTCAGTATCAAACCATGCTCCTGGTAGCTAATTAGTTATCAAAACTAGCTTATTGGGTCTCCCTAAAAATGATGGCCATATGTATACACACTATGCAACACGTTTGTCTGCTATGCCTGTGCCACTAACTGGGATGTCTATGGACAAGATGCAGCGGCAGCGCAGACCATGGGAGTGACGCATTGCAGGTACAAACACACCAATCAGAGAGCGCGATTTCTTTCAGCGACGTCTTGTGCCCCATCACAGAGTAGCAGAAAGTATTCATACGCCGTTATGTAGATCACCAGCGATACGCAATATAATTTCTAATATCGACGGCAAAGACTTCACGACAGTCGTAGATGGGTATTGCACTTGCTTCTTGATTTTCTTGTGTAGCTGATCATTTGTACAAATATGTTTTTAATTAATTTAGTAACTGAAGAATAGCGACGTTAGCGGAGTGATATTGAAAAGAGGAGGAGTTTAGGATAGCCGTTAAAGGCGAGTCCAGTTGCTTCCTTCTCAGTGTGATCATAGAGATTGTCTGTTCGCTAAGGCTTAGTTGTCTTACGGATTTTGTCGTGAACTAGCTGCTGCATCTACATCCAAATGGTAAGAAAACGAGGATTGTAGTTTCTATCCAGTGTAGAATCCGTTGACTTACCCTTAGAAGCTGTGTTTTTCTGTTAAATGAACGGGCTGATCGTCAATAAAACGCAGCTTCACCAGTAGCTAAGCTGAAGCCAACGTTAACGGTGCGCTGTAACTATAGATACCGCAGTGCTGGGCGAATAAATAACAACTTGCTAGTTGCTAGGTAATGCAAGCTTGTTAATACAAAGCAAACCTTAGTTCAAGCTGCGTCGGTCTAAATAAATGCAGCAACGCTTCAAATCTGCGTTACTTTACATAATTGTTGATTTTTATGCAAACACAACACCAGTCTAGCTAGATGTCTATGAAGATTCTCAGTCTAGCTAATGCTTGGTTCGCTAAATTAGATGGTGGCTCAACATTGTCCGTTTTGTCCCTTAATAAAATAGGTGCTGATGGAGAAGCAACGATAATGTTGTGACGAACGGTAACTACTTTACAACCAGCTTCTTGCTTTAACGATGGTTGTATCAGTCCTTCTGCCGTGTGCAACGTTAGTGTTGGTCTAAGTTAAGGTCTGAAACTGTGAGCCGGTACATATCGGTAGCTAGCTAACTTTAGCTCTTCCTAGCTAGCATTTACCGCCAAATTATAAAGTCATTCGTTGTCTGTGGGAATGTTGGCGTCATGGAACGTTTAA